TTAAAGATTGCAAATGAGGTATTACTTTAGGTACTTTTGTCTCTGAACATCTTTATATAATTTATTTTTGCCACCCACTTAACATTCACACCTATATTTTATTTTCTCCAAACAGATTAGGCTACTGTGACTATATTTGATTATCACTCAACTCGTACTGTCCACTTCTTTTCATTTAAAACATAATTATTGGAACTGTTGTGTCACAAAAATCTACTTGTCACACTAATAAATTGGAATTTAAGGTTATGTAATGACCTGCAGAAAATCGTTTAAGTACTTGATTTCAATTAAATAACTGTTCTGTCAATCTCTGACTTAAGCCCTATTCAGAAGGGAATAGTTTTCTAAACTAAATTTTTATCACCCGACATCTGCAATTTGACTAACGAATGAGACTAACATCTCCAGGGGCCGTATGTATAAAGCCGCTCAAAGTAAAAGTTTAGTCTTAAGTGTGTCAAAATTCTAAGAATGACGTAATTTTACTCTTATTCCTAGACTTAAGAATAAGAGTGATTCATAAAGGTTCCTAAGTGTTAAAAGAGGTCTCAGCTCCTAAATTATTTAAGAGAGCTGGAGAGGTCTCCTAACCTATTAGGAGCAAAGAGGAGACGACAAACACTTTCCAGCGAAAATATATTGGACTTATATGATAATATGGAGTTGATAAAACGATTTACAACATACGTTATTTACATTTCATTAGTCCTCTTGTTTTTGCATGTGTTCATAATATCTTTGTATGATAGCATGGCCAAAAATGATGACCGCAAAATTAGGCTTGTTTCATTGCATTATTATCACAAATAAAACAACTGACTAAGCAACTATGCAATATGCTTACAAAATCTTACACATTTTTTTTTTTTAATTAAGGATGAAAATATGTCAAATTTCCTAGGCCGGACATCACTTTTGGCCACTACTATATGGCAGTTTATTACATTTTCAACTGACCGCCAAACCATACTGCAAAAACAACTTTTGTGAGGATTGTGGGCTTTCCTGGAGTTACTGGAGCCGTTGATGGAACTCATGTTCACATCATTGCTCTAACTGTAAATGAGGAGACATACCATTAAACAAAGCATTAGTAATAATTTGTGATAATTTTGCACAATGCAAAGCATTTAAAATACATTTAAATTAAAATATTTCAGTCTTCATTAAATGATTTTATTGTAGTTACATTAAATTATTGGTGTTGTGCTGCTGTGACTTTACATGAGCAGGCTCACTATTGGCTGATTCAGAGGT